CTGTAAAGGTTGGATGTGAGAAGATATGCTATTACCCTTAGAGCCTCAAAGTGAACAACAGTAGTCGATATGCGGGAGTACAATATTATTATATAACAAAAGTTTGGTTTTGGTGTCAATAAATTTGTGAATGCGCCCTAATAGTGAGAGTGAATAGCCAAGTTTACTTCGTAGGTGTCTAATATGTGCATGCCATGTTAATTTGTTATCAAAAATGAGGCCTAAATGCTTGTGTGATTTGACTTGTTTGATGTGATGCTGATTAACGTGAATGCTGATAGTTGGTTGACAAGCCAATCTCTGTGCTGTACCAATTAGCATAGTCTCGGTTTTTGTATGATTAAGCAGTAGTTTGTTACAAGAAAGCCAACTTTGTAGATTAATGAGATCAGAAGTAAGTTTATGTTCAATTGTAGAAACATGTGTATCAGCAATATAGAGGATAATATCATCAGTGTACATGTTAACTGTAGAATAGGAGATGCAAGAAGGAAGGTCGTTAATGAAGATAGTAAATAGTAAGGGCCCCCAAGATAGAGCCTTGTTGGGTCTTTAATAGATTTAAAAAAATTTTTAAATAAAATATATAATAATATTGAGAAAAGTGGTCTGGCCGCGGCCGGTGCGGCTCCGACGGCCCTGAATATAACTAGCTCTATTACACATTTTTGTTTTACACTACAGATCGGTTATTATTATATTAATATACGTATGCTAAAAAGCTAAAATAATAGAAAATGGCAGCCATTTTAAATTGTAATAGCTCAAAAATGTGTATAATATTTAGTTAACTGTCATTGTTATGAGTGGATTTCCAATTGAATACTGCATTTTAATGACATAAATTTACAAGTGACAATTTTAGGAAAAATTGGCGGCCATTTTGAAATTGCTGGTAACCGCCCCCCCCCCCTACATATGAAAAAAAAAATGTTGCACATACTTTTTTGATTTATCTATGTCTACTCTACATCATATCCAATTTTTAAAAAATATAGCAAAAAAAAAAATGCAACCTCTGATATTGCTACATTTCGGACTGGACTATTAGGTTCAAATCCTATTTGAGGGCAGTATATATTTTCCTCCCTCCTCATTTTTTTATAATTAGTAAACATTGAGCACGCCACAAGAGAACATGCACGCTCCCCTACCATAAATGCTTGAATAAGCGGCGCTCTTAAAAAAGCGGCGCTCTTAAAAAAGCGGCGCTCTCGAATAAGCGCCGCAAAAAACCTAATTGTTTTAGCTAAGTGACGCCCTCGAACAAGTGATGGAGCGTCTAATCGAGAGCATGAATACTTTGTGAAACAGGGTTTTAAATACAATGTTTACAAGGTGTTAAAATAAATAAATAACACAATTAAGACACATTTTTATTTACAATGACGTACAACTTATGACAGGTCTACAGAATACGCATGGAAAGCGCCACGCCAATATTTTTATTAGCGCCGCTCTTTAAAAAGCGCCGCACTAAAGCCTCCAAAAATGTTGTAAGCACCGCAACGCTTATTCGAGCATTTACAGTATGCTCCCCAAAAATGCTTGCACTCCCCTTACTCTTCCCAGGCATTTATTTCACAAATCAACTTATTTCCCAAACCATCGCATCCTCACTTTCTCATTTCATCCCAATCAGCTCTCTATACTACAGTGTACCAAAAGATGTGGCACCTGGATTTATGATGGATTTATTCAGTGAAAACACCAAGAATAACCCACAAAAGTCTAAAGCAGACTCATTTCCAGTGGGGTTTTTCTGGTGGCGAATGGGTAGTACACCGGGAGACAATCCCCTACTCTTTTCCGAAGAATTTACTGTGCTCTTTAACGTGCACATGAGCCCTACAAGATGCACACGATACCAACAGCTTAAACGTTTCATTCGAAAGATGGTGTGCTGTCGTAGCCTTCCAGCTGAAATACAAGGAGAGCAGTGGTGGGAATTGAACCAGGGACCAAGATGTCTCCACGGTTCAGCGCACCAAGGTAATTCAACAAAAGGACGCACATCTCGGGACATCAAAGGTTATAACTCTGGCATCGACATTCTAGGCGCACGTGCGTCCCTACACGCTGAACGTCACAAAAACCATAGCAACCAGACCATAAACCGTCAGCGTACGTGACGATTTACCCACGC